GTGATGTTATACCCTGCATACAATGAATTGCGGGGTCCAACCAATGTACAAGTCACCCCCCTCCCCTTATTTACTTGGCAGTGCAGCCTTCAGCAAGAATGTTCCACAGCGTGATGGCGTGCCCGGCTTACAGCGCGACTGATTACAAATACATATGTATATAGAAATAAAAATAAGCCCCTCGATGCTTTCTAAAGTGTAAAATCTGCATCTGCATCTGCTTCTGTAAACATTTGGCTTATTGTGTAAAGGGCAAAGTCGAGAGCAATGTACGCGTATTCCATATCCCTGAGATGCGGTAGGCTTGGCTGCGTACTTTATTCAAACGTGATGGCGGCTGCTCTTTTGGTGGGACATTTTGATTCTGGAACAATTGTGATCATGTTTTTGCCCTGCAGAAAAGAAGATGCCAAGATAAGATGTCAAGCTAGTTGTCTCAAGCTGAAGTAATTAAGGGAAATCCATCCCAGCCACGTTCAAATGTAGCACGCAGCCACGTCTACCACCGTCTGTTGGATATGGTAGGTCATGAATGTAAGGAGACATGGTGATCTTATCGATCGGTGGAGGGAAGGCCGTGGACAGCATTTAGACTGGTTTTCTCCCAGTTCCAAAGCACTCGTCTTCTGCCATTTCTAAAATATACTAGTGGATGGCCTGCGCGTCTAGGAACCACGGCAGGATACAGCATCGCTGAAAAGGACAAAATGGTGATTAGTCCAAACCTTGGCCATCATCTGGTCAATCATTAGCAGTGATTCAATTCTCCTGACGTGTTCAAAGAGATTTGGCCTGAAGAATTCCATAAATCTATCTTCAGATGATAGAAGGGCCAGCATCTTAAATAGAACATCTCTGGTGGCCAGGAATTCACGTGAATATGCTGGATCGAAATAGATTCGAGCCGAAAGCATCGACGTTCCAGGCAGATCTGAAGGTAGAAAGGTATGCTAATACTGAATATATACTAAATAGTGAGCAGATACTTCTCGATGGGTGTATAACAAAAGGCATTTACACTGTAAATATTGCAGTCTGAGTCTGTACTCCGTCAGCCGAAACGGTACGGTCATAGAAAAGATGATTTCCGCTTCTCAGATGGAAAGTATACCAGTCGCGTGCAGTGATGTTGTCCCGTTCAAACTTCTGAAAAGAGCTGACCATTTCGAAGAGGTGCGTAATTGGTCATCGGTGGTTGTCTATGGCTTCGAGAGAAAGTCTTTCACATTGCGAGAAATTTTTCACGGTGGTTCATTTTCGCGATTCCGCTTTCCCGTTTCACGTGCCCCTAGTTGCTGGCATTACAAACTGCAACAACTATTAGGTCATCCCATTCAAAGTGGCCGACACATATAGAGGAATGGCAGAAAAGCAAAGGGGATAGAGCAGCGGGCTACTATACCATTTGGAAGCTAGTACCTTAAGCTGTGTATCTGTGAAATTTGGCGAACCTAGCCTCTGAAGAAGTTTCGAGAAATTGAAGAGAAGCCCGAGTGGTGAAAATCGGCGCCGGTTTTTCAAATCAGACGTCATAAAAGGAAAGTGCGCTGCTCAAATTTGACCTGCGCCGGACCATAGTTGTGTGTAAGGGTGTTCTCGAAATACACGGTGGAAGATCTGGTTCAGGAGCCCGTACAAGGAAGAAAGGAAAAAATTTGTTGTCGTGGTGGTCCCATAATATTCATCCTGCACAAGAAAAACGGGTGGATGAAGTCAGGCACTGAATATCTGATCACAGAGCCTGGACCCTTGTCGAGCTTCCCCGCGAGTCTGACATCCCAGCTGCAACTGCTGCCCGAGTTATGTCCGATAAACGAGGATGGTCAAGAGGGTGGCGCATGGGTACCCAATTTTCTTATAGAAGCACGAACGCAGTACCGATTCTATACCTCCAGCAGTAATGTTCTCAGCATGAGATGTCACTCACAACTGTGAAAACGCACCCCGGCCCTAGATGAAATATGGGTGGTCTCGGACCTCGAGTCGAAACTCACAATCGTCAATTTTCTATGAATGCAGATGAGAAGCCGCCCGAGTTCTACCATGAAGAGTTACGTGGGCGCAAGTGGATGATCATCATAGCAAAGGATTCCCACACTGGCTTTCAAGCGGCTCTATACAGAGGACAAATCCGTCACTGTCGGTGCATATTGCCTGTTCCTCGGCATTCAGATCGACAAATGGATGGTACCACACAACTACAAGAAGGCCACCGTTGCTCGTCATAGTGCCAGACCCCGAGTAACTGTATTGTAGATCAGTGCTGGGACACAAACAATACTGAGACCTGAGTTCAATCGCCCCATAAAATTTTTTCCCCCCCGCGGCGCCATTAAAGCCATGCGATTACAACTGTTCTATTCAGTAGAGAGTACTCTTCGACGGCAGACGCTACAATGTTTTGTCATTTGCCGAAATTGGCAACAACAGCAATTTACTCACACTTGTTGAAAAATCGAAGGGTAGCAGAGTGCAAAGGCCGGCTCGGGCATTCTGGCGAGCGGCGTCATTGGTGAAGGAGGGATTTACTCATCCTAAAGCTAAAATATCACTTTTCTATCTATTCTCCTCTTTGTTTTATTCAAAAAAAACCATCGGCCACTTTGAATGGGATGACCTAATAGCATTTTGAATGGCTAATTTGATAATTGATTTTGACTGGTGACGCAACGCCGCTCCACGCCCAATTAAAAAAAACAAACAGGAAAAGAAAAAGTCGAAAAGGGGGGGGGGGTGGTCGTATGACATGGCCATTTCACCCATCCGAAGCTTACACGGGATGCAACCAATGAACACCTTTTCTGGAAAATGCTGGATGTTTTCAGCGCCAACAGATCACGTGACGAGGAGACCTGCTTTATTTGATTTTTCATATGTTTGAAAGGCAACCCATTTTCAGCTGTTGCTAATGCAAATAGTCGAGTCATCGATCCTGCATATGCAGAGTCCTTACAGTGAAATATTGGGTTGGCACATAAGTACTTTCGTTTTTTTTTCAACCGGAAATTTCGTTCCAAAGATGAAATGTTTTGCTAGCAAGCTTGATATCATCTGATAGGAAACTTCACGTAGTTTTAGAATATCAAAACGGCTTCGGTTGAGGGAATAATTTTTGTGGATTTTTTAGTCGTTGAAGTTGAAAGCGAAGTCGGCGAAAATTAGCACCTTCGACAACTGCCTCTATTTACGTATAGTCGAAGTGCTAAAATCCTTTAGTCTGCTCATACATTTGGAAAGGTCGAGCAGACGCTTCCAGCAAGAGATATCTCAATGAGGCACGCTTCAGAACTAAATTCAAGAATTTCAAAGATTACAGCAGCATATTGGGCAGCTCACGTCTGTTCCACCTGAAATTTTATGCTAATATTTGAATGTTTCGCTGATATGTTTTGCATTCTGATAGCAAATTTCGTGCTCTATAACACTGCTATAGAAATCTGTTCTCCAGAGGTGTTTGCTTTCTGTTAAGTTCAGGTTATCATTACGGAACGCGAAGTCGTTGAGAACTAGCGTTCCCTTCTCACGAATTTTATGCTAACATTTGAATGTTTCGCTAATGTGTTCTATATGTTCTGATAGCCAATTTCGTGCTCTATAACACTGCGTTGCAGTATTTTGAAATCCGTTTGATGAACCTTGTTTTTCAGGTGGATAATATGGAATGTCAGGTCGATAAGCATCAGCACTTCAGACATCTCCTCCTTTTCGCATTCAACAGAGGTATCAGAGCTGCTGATGCTGCTCGGGAAATTCGCGCGTGTTTCGAACAAATTTCTTTCCCACTGCGTGATGTGAGAAATGTGTTCGGGGGGGGGGTCAAAGTCCTCTACCCGTTTTTCAACAATCACACATTTGAAGGCACGGTCCGCGATCAGGTATAGAAGTTGGGAATATGGCATCGTGAAGGTAGAGTGGTCCTGCGACGAACAACCTTGTACCGGTTTCGCGGCAAAAAATTGTAAGGGAGGGGCGCTATAGCGCAATATAGGTTCAGTGACGCCTCCTTTTCGCCAGTGACTCCGCCTTGATATTCCGCCTTCGAGGCCCGCCTTTCAGTGCAAACTAGAAAGGCATGAAAATGAAAGCGCCACCATCGTCACATTTGAGGTCGTAGGGTCTTTGTCGGGTGATCAGGTGTGCAGGTAAGGGTGTTGGAGATGGAGTTAGTTAGGCAAACAAACAAACTGGGCACGTACAAACTGGGATCGGAATGGGGTTCAATTTAGGGCAGTTGGCCGGTTTTTCTGCTTTTTTTCTTCACTATCGAGTTACTTCGCCATTATGCAAACCCCTAAACCACTATCTGCGATGGCAAACCACGCGGGCTTTGCCTTTAATTTGACGCATAACCCTCAAAAACTCTCGAAATAATGCTGACAATTAGTGGTGATAAGACTCTCAGCTCATTCCAGTACACAGTTTGTGATGAAGCAGAACAAGTTAAGAAGTGTTGCAACTTCTGTAGGGAATTATTTAGTCCTTTCCAGTTGACTTACACATCAGCAAATTCATTCTATGATATTTCAATGGCTATCAGTCATTGGATGCAAGAAAGAGCATTCCTCAAATTGGATCAGGTGAACAGTCGGGATACATTCGATACATCTGTGATGGAGGTGAATGCCTTCTACGACGGCAATAAAAATCAGATCGGTAGGTTTATCTCACCTCTTAATTCTTGAACCATGCAATCATAGCTTTTTTGTAATAAACATTATTTCCAGCTATTTCCGCAGGTATCCTTCAATCTCCATTTTTCAACTCGTCTTTGCCGAGGTAGTGTTCCAGTGAATAGTGCCATAGATTTTTTTAAGTAATTCAAAATGCAGGTTAGAATTTTGGGTACTGTTCAATTCAGGGGAACTAAGTAGTACTTTGTTAGTTCACTAGTTTCTAAAGTTTTCTTGGCGACACCTGTAATTTCTTGTGAGGTCACGAAATGGAACAAGTTTCGATGGGCCTTTGAAATGGTATGAGCCTTCACTGAAGACACTTCCCGCGATCAAGTGATCAGCAAAATGCCTCATTGTACTTTTTTTCAGCATAATGAACTACGGTGCCATAGGAGTTGTCGCTGGACATGAGGTCACCCATGCCTTTGATGACAGTGGTATGATGTTTACCTTCAAATTACACAAAATATGTATATTTACTTTACGACATGTGAAGTTAGATACTATTTCATCTTCACTTACTTCAGCTTTCTTGTTCCTTCCTAACCTTATACTAATTCAAGGGGCATCTTACGACGAGTATGGTAATAAAAATGACTGGTGGGATGACGCGACGTACAAGAACTTTGAGCACAAGAAACAATGCTTTGATCGTCAGTATGGAAGCATCTTTGTCAACGACCTGAACGTCAAGGTGACGCTTTCAGAAATTCAGCTTGCACTACACTTACAATTCAACGGAAGCAACAAAAGAGTGAATGAAGTGAGAAATACTAGTTTGTAGCTCGACATTCTTGCGAGCCGTGAGCTGACGTGAGGACGTCGAGTAAGGATTTTGTAACAAGAAGCTTGACCCCTATTCGGAGGTGGTAATGGTGGGCTGCGCATTTTGAATATGCCGTGGAATGCCTCTGTTGTGGTATACTTCCATCTGAGGAAGCTGCCACTTTGTCTTGTTGGGGCAACACATGATTGCGAATGATTTAAAGTCAAAAACGCAACTGCCGCCGCAGGTCGTCGTTCGCGGCTGCCAATTACGTGTGCAGCCACGCCCTCGCCATCTCCGGATATATAGACTATAAAGAGCATACGCTCTGTAGTAGATCTTCCGTCAGAATTTCGAGACAAATGTGCGTGCCGCGAATACTCGTAGCTTCCCAAATGTCTGCCTTTATACTGATTTTCTGCGGAGGATGGTCATATAGGATTAGTTCCGCTTCTAAGAGCACTAATACCTTGGTTATTTGTGCAGTACAAGAGCAATAGAGTGATTGTTTATAAATTTCTTTTCAGATTGATGGGAGACGAACCGAAGGCGAGAACATTGCTGACAATGGAGGAATGCGGGCAGCAATTCGGGTATGTATGAAATGTACTTTGGCTACAGGAACTGTCGAGATGGCGTGTGAGAGGGTGTGCATCCGAGCGCAACTACTACAGTCTTATCCACCAGTCGATGTTGTCCTGACCCGACAATAATTGGTGGGGAAAGTTACTATGGCTGCGTTTCAATCCCCTTCACACACCCTCTCGCTTGCAGGGATAATGGATGACCCTCCTAGGATTCTCTGTCGAATGCACACGGTGGAACACCAGTTTTGTCTGGAAGGATAAGACACTGACTTGTACATCGGCTGGCCCCGCAAGTCATTGTATAGGCCACATCGCATTCAATAAGCCACTACGATTCTGAATGGAAGTAGAATGCGTGCCGCATTCCGAAAAGTGACTAACCAACCAACAGTGAAATTATCTTTTATTTATGTTTGACATTTAGGCCGCTTTACGCCTTTCTGAAGGCACATCTGAACGCTTCACCATTGCCGGACTAGAGGACTTTACTCAAATGCATTATTTCTTCATGAACTATGCTTTCGTGAGATTTTTTCATTTCATTTGGTCACTAACATGTGAATCTTTCGGATAATAGAGCACTTACTGAAATAGTGCACTTCCCGACCAGGTCAGGGGCTAATCCACAAATCAACCAGCTGCTGGAAAGAGCAAAGTTTGGGAAAAGCCGGTGCCCGGTGCAATTGTAGAGCTGCCCAGCTGTACTGAATGAGCTTCAATGTGGCACTTTTGCAAGGGTTGTAGAGATCAGCCGCTGAAGCAGCTACTTCATCCAGTAATTATACGATGCTCCCTCAAGTTGGGCTCAAATGGATATTAAGACCCCACTTCGTCTCCAAGGATGTAGTCTCTTGCTTTAAACCATTTATGTCGTAAAAGGTTGCTCAAGAACTGGGGGCATGGTCCCTATAAAAGGGGTGGAAAACGAGCGAGTGATATCTAGAAAGGGTATGCCCTCAGGTATTGCACTTCACATCATGTATCGCACCTGAGGCAGAGGTGATGTAAGAGGCGGAGGTGGTGTACTTACAAGTGGCGGCTTAACCCGCGCGGTTCTGGGTTCAAATCCCGGGCCCGCCCAGGCCAACCAAGCCTTCTACCCTCCGGGGACGGTAAATTGGTACCAGATTCGTCTGGGAGGATAAAACACTGACTTGTACATCGGCTGGCCCCGCAAGTCATTGTATAGGCCACATCGCATTCAATAAGCCACTACGATTCTGAATGGAAGTAGAATGCGTGCCGCCACAAAGGGATTGATCAACGGCGAAGACTTCATCCTTTTTATCTATTTTATCGCACTTGCTCAGGTTGAGGGTAAATATTCAAGTTTAGAAAAATATGACAGAACGTTTCCGCCAATCTAATAATGGTCAACAATTAGTATTGTATTAGTATCGGCTCCTTCTGTTAAAAGTTGTTATTTTCAGATATGGTGCGGAAGCACTCGCCGAGCAACTCTTCTCAACAAATTGGCCAACGACGTTCATGCGCCCGATATGTATCGTGTAAACGTCGTACTGTCAAATCAGCCAGAATTTGCTAAAACATTCGGCTGTCGACAAGGATCGCCCATGTCTCCCGATCGCACGTGCACATTGTGGTAAAGATTACCGCAGGAAGGCTGTAGGAAATTTTGAAAGTAAATAATGAGATTACAGTTGTTCACAATAGTGCGTAGGTTGAGTGGCGCGACTGTCCTGAAGGTCAGCTTGAAGGAGCTCTTCGAAAGCGCTTGTGAATCCCATTGTACTGCTATCTTCGCTATTGAACAAAGTCACAGGGCACATCACCTCATGGCGACGGACAAGACAATCGTAATTTGTCGCGTCGGCGCGTCGTGCGGCCATGCGTAGCAAATTCTCAATGTGCATCAGTATGTCAATTGGAGCAGCGATACTCACATGAAATCAAGCAAAAACAAGACTGCATGACGGGCGATTCGGAATTTCCCTATCCCTTTGGCACTATTGTTCAGACAGCCAGGTAGAGCAACTCGTCCATCGGACGCAGCGTCGCTTGCCACTCCCACGAGCGCGGCTAATCACGATTGTCTTGTTGCACACCCTACCCCGATGTGTAGTCCATGAACGATTTACAGCGTAGCTGAAAGGTATGGGCGACTTTTTCACGCATTTTTTCCTGCCTTCACACCACCCTACGTAGCAGTCGTGATACTTACGGCTTGTAGCATTTTTCTGATCTTC